CCCCCCCCCTGCCCACGTTGTTTCATGCTCATTCAAGACGGGTGGTTTACTTTCTGTTTGAGCATTCGACGGCAGTTCTCTAACAACACGCGGGAGACGTTATGCACTTTTCAGGTAAAGGGAATGGGCCGACTCATTTCATCTCTGCTTCAGCAGCGCTCGCGCAACATGGCGGCGACGAAGAAAACCCGCCGCGAGTGTTCATATAATTGGTATCTCAATAATAACGCAGCTTTTTACTGTAAAGTAGGTGTTTTGGGTTACCTCTGCCTTCATTCCCCTGCTGTTTAATTTGTGCATTATTGGGCCTTCTGTCATTTCTGATATATATCAATAATATCTTTTCAAAGCATGATCAAGTTGGAATTAGTCAATGCTTGGAAAAATTCAGTTATTGGTGTAACTTGGGATATATAAAAGTAAACTACAAAAAATCAACATATACACATATGACTAAAAAAACAGGCGTTAAGCCCTTTCAATATTCTATCGACGGGAAATCACTCCTCCATGCTAACCAATTTAAATATTTAGGAGTCACTCTTACTCAAAATTTTGCATGGCATACATACATAGACTATGGGTGCTTGAAAGCGAACCAGAGACTAGGTTTCCTGAAACAAAAACTACATCAAGCTATGCAAAATATAGAACTTATAGCTTACAATACCTTAGTTAGACAACTACTAGAATATGCCTCAGTCGTGTAGAGTCCTCATCAACACGGCCTGAAAACAAAATTAGAAAAAGTTCAATGCAATGACGTCCGCTTCATATGCACGAGTTGCTGCGGGTTAGACATAGATGTTGGAGTCCTGTGAACTGGCACAGGCACGAAGACAAAGGAACCAGTTGAAAGCTCTTTTCAGGATACTGCAAGGACAACTAGAAATTAACGAAGATTTGTACTTAAATGTGCCAGGGAAATGAAGCAGTCAGGTTAATCGCGACTGTGTTTTAGTACCGTACTCTTATCGAGTGGTGTGTTTCGTTATTCTTTTGTTCCAGCTGCTATTGAGCTTTGGGATGCGTTGCCAGGCATTGTAGTAAATGCAAGTGATCTTTGCCAATTCGGAAAATTGCTGGACATGTATTTTAGTAATGGAGCTGCCAAATGATAAGCCTGCATGTTTCCTTGGTTTGAGTTTCTTTGTTTTTTTTCTCCCAGCTGCGTTTAAGCTTTGTAATACATAGCCAGGCATTGCTGTAAATGCAGGCAGCGTTTGCCAATTTGATAAAGTATTACACATGTATTAATTGATTACGCTTCCACTTGACATAGATGTATATTGGTTGGTTTGTATTTGGTTGTACCTTCCCTCCAAGAGCCCTCAAGAGAGGGCTGAAAGTATGATGAAATAGATAAACAAGAATAAATAAATAAATCACAAAAGGAAACTCTTCGCGGCATGGCTTTAAATAATCCCTTTTGGTGGTTTTTTTCCTTTGAAGCAAATGAAACAGGCTTTTGCCACGGGAACATTTCCGAAGCCTTACGGGATTTTTTTAGGGAAACACAACAAATCGAATGTTAACCTTAACTGTGAACTTACTATACTTTCAACCTTATAAACTTGTTATTTTTTCTTTTCCTTTATTTACTCTATGTTTAATCTTTGTTTTTCAAAGTTTTCATTTTTAAACGATTTATTGCTAAACGTACTCGGCTTAAAAAATGACGTTATCTCTAAAGTAACGTACCATCTGCTTCATGGAATCGTGGTGGGTTGCCTGAGAAATATACAAGGAACAACCTATCAACCAATGACCGCCTCCTGACTGCTGAACTAAAATAACTTTTAAATATATTTGCGACAATGTGTGATGTGAAGCAGTTGGTGAGTAGTCGTATATACGGCATCCTGTCTTTCTTCAAGGGCAAGGTTGAAAATTGCACCGACAACTTCGTGCAATGTATATGTCATGGCTATAAGTCCCCCAACTTTGGCGCTGCGCCACGCCCGTTTCCCCGCCTTTCTAGCAAAAGCGGGTCGCTCGGTACCCTGCTCCCGCCTTCTACCTGCACTCTCTCTGCACACGCTGTTGTATGGTCGCTCTGCTCATGCAGCATCTCCTGTAACTTGCTCCGAAGGTTTATGAAGATTATTAAAACGTTTTCGCGGTGTGAATCTTACCAGAACTGAGAGCGACAACCTTTGCCGGACCAAGCAAGTCAAACACGATGTCTTTGAGCGAGTGATGTGCATGTCGATGGTGAACAGCCACCTTTCTATGACATTAAAAGTGAGGTGACGGTGCGAATTCCCGTTGTATGTGACAGGTGAAAGGCGCATTTGCTGCGACAGTCACGTCTTCTTGGAGCTGTCAACAAACCGCCATCACCACGCTTTACCGTGTATTTGTATATATCCTTTGGATTTCGATTGCTTGGTAGCCAAGTTTGCAGCGGGGCTTTAAATTTGTTAAGAAATCAGTGTGAAGAAACAAAACTTACGTCTGCCCTGTTGAGTCCCTGGCACCATTGCAATGCACAGTGTTCAATTTCATAAGAGTTTCACATTTTGCCGAAGTTTTCATCGGATGTGAACGTCATATCGCAAATTCAATGCCACCTTGGATTTTCTTTTACTGCTCCTTTGAAAGCATAATGATGAAGTATTTTATGCCCACTTCGACCATAGGTGTTTCTTGCAGCGCATATTTCATTTCGAATAATATGCATACCATTGTTCGTGCAGCGTGTTCACTGATTCAAATGTCGCCTTGGTTGTTTTGGCAGCTCACTTGGTCCCAGTCTTGTTATACAATCCCCACAAGGATCTAGCGTGTTTTTGGTTGCGCCAAGTTTTGCCTTTCATAACCAGGTGTAATTTCGTGATACTATCGAAAATTTTATTGCCGTCTTGGTTCCTTTTTTAACTAGTCTTTATAGCGGCAACTGTATATCGCCCGCGGCTAAGACACATGCAAGGATATTATCATGGGGGTAGTGACTTGGATGAAAGAAGCAGACTAGTTATGGATGAAACTGTTAATTTAGCCGAACTTGTGGCCCGTAAACTAAAGGTAAGATTATAGTGATGCCCACTGGCACTGACAGGGCTGAACAGAGCATTCGCTGTCGATCAACTGGCAAGTGGTGAGGCGTGTCGACATTTATCCACGTGCCATCGAATATTCTAGCGTTATCGTTAGCAGTGACGTAGGTTCCAGAGTAATCTGCAGTGTTCGCGAAGTAGGCGTAATCTTAACAAAGTGATCTACGGCAGTCATGAAGCTTCTTGAACACTGCAGGCATGCTTTGCACTGAGAATCACTGGCAGTAAAATGGGGCGATAAACATAAACTGAGGAGGGAATGCAGTATAATATAACATTTTGCATGCCAAAACCAAGGTATCATTAGGCAGCATGCTGTGGTGTGAGACTCCATATTAATTTCGGCCACTTAAGGTTTTTTTTAACGTGCACTCAAGTCTATTTGAGGTGTAAAACCGACAAGGATAACGGACAGAGGGTGCACACACGCTGAGCGCCACTTCTATTTGCATTGAGCGTCACTCCATCATACGCTTGAAATATGCAAAACCAATACACCCTGCCTGCCATTCTTACACCTAAATCTAAGCACAGTGTTACTACATTTTGCTCCCATGTAAATGCAGCTGGCTTATGCGCAAACTGAACTCATGACTTTTGATCCTATCATCGGAACACCTAAGCTGGCTAACTTATCGGTGTGTGTTGCTTGCAAGACCTGTGCCTATAAACGCTCAGCGTGAACACAAAGCGGGTGGCCAATCTCGAAATGTAGAGCGATTGTCTATTTGCTGTAGCTTCAGTTTACAAATGTACGATCTTGTTTCTCCCCATTAATAGTTTGCAATGCTGTTCACGACAAAAGATTCTTCAATGTGACAAGACCGTGGTAGTATCGACGAACTGCCACAATCCACTTTTGACTCCTTTGCTTCTGGCACTGCTTGCATTGGAAACGGTAGAAATTCATGGGCAGTTTTCAGCTCTGAGACATTTTTAAACCTTTGTAGCAGCTAACAATGCGGTAGGAGTGTGTGCCTGCTTTCTAAGATGACGAAGGAGCGTCACCCATAGCACGCGAAATGCGAGATGAACGCCCCAAGGAACATATTTTCGGTGTGCGCAATGGGAAAACAAAGCAAGAGCAGGCCGTCCGAACGACTGGAGCTTTACCCTCTCTCCGCTGGGGTGGCGAACGGCGCTGTGCCTATTTGAGCCTGTCTTTCCTATATCAGCTTAGCTGGCTTAGTTGGTACGTCTAGTAATGTCTTGCGCAAAATGGATTTTATGCTTCGACGTCTCTGCCGAACTCATGTGAGAGCAAATAGTAATGACTGGTAGGATCTTACGTCCCGAAACAATGATACAATTGTGATAAACGCCGCATAGGGGGACCAAGAAAACATGTTAGGGCAAAGATATCACTTTCATCGAAAGGAACTGAGGGCTTTACAGTGCAGTGATGTGCATATTATATAATGGCGAGGAACTTGGCCAGTTGGTACATGCCTAATTTGATAAATACCAACGGGGCAAGCGTGTTGAAAACGTATCGTAATCAGCGGTTGTCGGCACATTACTGCGGGGTCAAGCAGCGGCTGACTACGATGATTTAGAGACAGACAAGCTCATGTGTAACGTTTGTTGCATTGTTACGAAAGCAGATAGCCAACTCTTAGTGTTGCCCCAACATGACGCCTGAAAAGAGTTCCTTTCCTGAAACACATTGCTAGGTGCTGTCGTGGCTTTCTGCTGACTGGTTCATGAAGCTATGTACGGCCTTTTACAGCCCCACCGTAAAAAAAAAAAAATACATATAGCATCTCGCAGGGTTTCTTTTTGCGGCTTTATTACATGCTAGCTAGATCTTGAATGAGTCCCTTGAACCATTTGCCTTCTTCATAACTTTACCTTGGCCTTAAATAGACGTTTAGTTGACAGTACACTACGATCATCTGATGCAATTTTAGTTTCTGGAACTCTGACTTGCTATCATTTCAGGGCTACAGTTGGACAGCAAGCGACTATCTGTCGCCTGCTGATACAGCGTGGCTGCCGTGTTGATGCATCTGACAACTACGGGTAAGACTGCGACCTAATTCAAACCTAACCTAGGGATAAGCTGATTTGAAGTTTCTTTTATGTCAGCCCAAACACCACACCGTTACGAATATTTCAGTGACTGAGGAGCTTTTTTTGACAGAAATTCATAGATATTTCCTTTTTGCCTTTGTGCTGTACAAAAACAGGTGGTTATGAGTTTGCATTTATTGTTTCGCCTTTAATGCAAAACGATGATGGCAAAAACCTCGCTATAAGGCATGACCAGATGACGTTTTCTGTAGTTGTGTAAGCAAGAAAATGCGGGCCATAGCCAGAAAAGCCGAGCGCGAGCTGCCTGTTTTCACTCTAGGATGATTGTTGTGTCGGTTGTCACCGCCCGCTCAGAGCGTCCGTAGACCTATCGCTGAACTACTACTTGAGCCAATAAAGCCCGTTTCACTTGGAACACCAGATTACAAGTACAACCATGTGACGTTGCATATTTGTGGTTTGATATGTACACGTACCGCCATTGTAGTTTTATGCTCTCTAAAGGTTAGGATAGATTGTCAGCACGTCTTTTCAACTTGCTTGCCGAGCATCTTGGGGGCAGAACTGAAGGCCTACTGCATGCGCAAGCTCTGTACGTGATATAGAATACACAAAGGCTCGTATCATCGAGCTGCGTTGGCATCTGCCAGAGTGAACACCAAAGAGCCATGTCTCAATGAGGCAAAGGCTGGAAAAGACAGCTTCGGTAGTGAGGACGTTTTTTGACCTTGTTGAGTTTCCATGCGACGAGGCAGATTCCCATCGTGCTCACCCAGAGCTGTTGATGATACTTTTTTTCTTTCAAGACTGTGGAAATCTTTGTGTTTTCAGGCTGGCATACTCAGCCTGAAAGGCATACTCAGCATACTGAGAGAGAGAGAGAAAGAGTATAGGAAAGTTTGGGAGGTTAATTAAACTGAAATTGCCAACCCATGTGTCAGTTCCTTGATGTGGCCGATACTTTGAAAGCTGTTATTGGCACTTTTGAGTTTCTGGCGTCACTTATGCTTTCGCAAACTGACTGTTGCCTCGAACAATGCAAAGTTCTGGGTCCGTATCGAGGTAACCGCAGGAATAGTGCGCCCACGGCGCGCTGTGGTGCAGTGGTCGTTCGATCGCTGCCGTCCATGGTGGTGGCTTTTGGCTGATAGTTGGGACGATGTGGTTGTTGTCTTTTATGATGTCAGCTGCCCGTTGTCACAAATTCTGTGGCGTTCTAAACTAGAAAGGCGACAGTCAACAGTAAAGGGGGGTATTTGCTAGACAGAAAGCTATAGTTATTGGGTGCTCAAATGGCTTCGCAGAACCCAAGGGGAGCTGCAAAACTATATTTAAAGGGGTTGGTGGAACCCATTTTAGAAAAAAAAAAGTCACCTAACCTTCACCAAACTAGTGAAGCAGAAATGTGTGGCCACAGGCGGCGGCAGCCGAAGTATCACTCGACAAAGTCCTGCCAAAAGCGGGCGGTGTCCCCAGTGAACACTATCCCGTAATTGCCACGTGAACGCTGCTCAACCCGCAACAGTGCTGCCTAGTCTCCCATTGTGGCAAGGCATTCAATATCTTGAGTTAGCTTTGCGTCTTGGTTAGAAGCATCCACCAGTCATCGGCTTCTGCACTTCGCTTCGTGATTTCACGTGGCTTGGAAACCTGGCGGATCGTCGGTACGCAGCTCCAGTTTACACTTGGCCACCCAGGTGTGTGCTTGGACTCAGACTATAGCATCGTCCTGGTGAACACGATTTCTCTCGCGGTTCTGCTATCGGCGCTGTTCTTTAAACATTGTCTGCTGTTTGGGAGTTTGTGTGATCCCTGGCCTACCCATGTAAAAGTTGTAAGTTAAAACTGCTGCGCGCGAACTTCACTATAACAGAGAGGACGACGTGAGTGTAACATTGCAGCCAGAGAATGACGTAACTGTTGGGGCAGACAATGAAGAAGTTTTCAGGAACATGTGGACAGGCGAATAATTATTTTGTCTAGTCATATACAGCTTTCACTGTAAAAAAATTTCAAGAGCGTGTTTTTTGGGCGCACCTTCGCGTGACAACAGACCATTCTGATTTATGGAGCGTTCTCCTGCGTAACATTTCTGCCTCCGGCAGACATCACACTTTTTTTTGTTCAAGAGATGGCTGGAATGCTTTTGTTGCAGTTTTCTGTGGCATATGCATGTAAGCAAACATTTTTTAGGTTTGCATTTTTGAAGAGCGCATATAGCTAAGCTCAGATTGAAGTTGTTCAGATTGACTTGGCATGGCACTTTAGTTTGACCCTTTATTGCTATTGCTGAAAAAAAATAATAAAAGACACTTATTTCAAATTGTGAGTCAGTTAATGACTTTTCCTTGCAGTGCAAGCATTCCCTTAACTCATCCTCAAAGGTTTCATAACGCATCCATGGCTAAGAATGACTGCTCTAGGGGATAGTCCATCTTTGTCGGTGGAAGAATGGGCTCCTTGCGCGTCGAGCCATGCACCTGTTGCCTTTTTCTACAGGCCGCGGGTGATTATTGACGACCCGCCTTTGCCATCTTCCTTCAGGATGGTGATGCTGCTACAGGAGCATGAATAAAAGGAGGGACGTGCGCACATGCTCAACGTGCCTTTGATTCGCTAAGTCATAGCAGGCCATGTATATGCTGTCTGGCACAGAAAATGCGCTGTAGCGCTGAAGGGGTTGCAAGGAATGTCGGAATCGGTCGGTAACGGGAAGGGGAATCAATTTGAGTGCACCAGAACTGAAGTGTGGGTTATTGTGTGAGATTGCATATTTGTGCAAAAAACTGCGCCACGAGCAGGAGCGACTCGAGAGGAGATTGGGTTAATTGCAGAACATTATTATATTCTATTAATGAGGGGGTGGGATACCTAGTTATAACCACATTGGCTTGGGCCCTAGTCCTCGTACGAATCACCTAGCCCTCCTGGACCCACGGTGTGAGCTCCACATCCACCTATCATGGAACCATTGAAGACATTTGTTTTACATGCAATTCTCTGGCACTACTGGGCCATGTGCCAGATTAACATTTGAACATCAGCCAATGTATGTTGATGTTGCACAACTTGCATGCTGGCGAGGGAGTCCTGAAAGTGAGTGCAACGATAGTGTAAAGTTGGTCATTGGGAGTCGCATTGCCATGAGAAACTGAAACTGGTTGAGAGTCGACGTGAGCTCAGAGATAAGTCTCGCATGCGATGCACAACACTACGAGCTCCATCAATAGTTACCACCCCACTGCACCGTCCTGCGTGAAGCCATCGTCTTGAAGGGGAGCCCTAGTCCATACATCATCTTTATCAGTACTATTAAATAAAGCACATTTGACTGTCACCAGAAGCTCCAACGTATTGGAAGAAGTGTATGTGTTTGGCGTTCAACAATCATACTAGTCACTCAATAAGCGGCGAAAGGCAGTTTGGTAGTTATGACAGTCGAACATGTATATATCAAAGTCAAAGGGGATCGCGAATCAGTTTGATATAAGAAAAATTCGTTATAAAAAAATAGAAGCCCCAAGAGCTTACCTGTAGCGGATCATCACCTACAATAGGCGCATTAAAGAATGACAACTAATTTCGCACACATGCTACAACAGAATGATTTATTTGCGTGAAAAAATCGCTAATCTTGGCCTGCTTCTTCGTTTTTGAAGTGTTGAAGACACTAGGACTCCTTATTGCATTGGCGTAATACAGAGCAGGAGCTTCTGCACGCATTGGGGGCAAAGGTTGGGTCACATTTCTGATTTCATGGCAAATGATGTCACCCAGAATCATCGCACTCGGGTGAGAAGTGGGGTGAACTTTTTTGAGCTCCTTGCGAACCACGCTTTGCACAAGTTCGCAGAGTGCTGCTAAATTCTGCCCACAGGTGAAAGGTGACACCGCGGTGACAGAAGCTGGGTGGTCGTACTGCAGAGAGCATTGCTGAAGTGCTCGTTTCATGGTAGTAGTTTCAGCAATAAACTAACTGACTGGTGTTGGGGGCTTGCACATGAGTCCAGCTAAAAGTTGCTCCTAGACACCCCACAGGAGGAGTTGAACTTCTTTTGTCTCACCCCTCCCTGGGTCAGCGCATTTGAACAAGCGTGACATGTCCTCCACAAACATAGCCACTTTTTTATTTGGCTTCTCAACCCGGGAGTGCCGAGCCTTGTCGGCTTTCTCTTTCCTTTCGTGGTTTCAGAATGCCTGGTGTAGCTGTCCCTGAAATTCTTGCCAATTGGTGATAGACGGCTCATGGTTCTCAAACCAGGTACGGGCGCACGTTAAAGAACCCCAGGTGGTCGAAATTTCCGGAGCCCTCCACTACGGCATCTCTTATAATCAAATGGTGGTTTTGGGACGTTAAACCCCACATATCAATCAACCAGGTACGGGCATAGTCTTCAAATGCAAAATAGACGTGGCGAAGTTTCTTGGTTTCATTTCATTCATTGGCGGCTGCGACCCGGTCTAAGTGGTCTAGCCAGTCATCCACGTCCTCAAACACATCACCATCAAACAACTTCGGGATGCGTGCTGCGAAGACAACGCTTGGGGTGGATGTGAGTCCATCTACGTTGCTCTCTTGTGTCCGACTTGCCTTCTTTGTGGTCATTTTTGCCAAGCTCGAGAGACCAAATTTAGGAGGTAGTCCTAGCAAGCGGCAGCTGTGGCGTAGCGCCGGGTTTTCTTCCAGAATCGTTGGAATGGTGGCAAAAGCTTGAAGCAACTTGAGTTCGAACTAGCGCATTGAGATTGTACCCAGCATCTCCACCAGTTTGTCGGGGTAATAAAATGAGTAAAAGTAACTGTGCAGCAAAGAGCGGAACAGCTTCGATCGAGCAGCGTGAGTTCGTCGTCGTCCTTCTTAAACAAAAGCCTTCGCTACGCACAAGTAATAAATGAAACTAGCCACTCAACAGCCAGATACCTTCTACATGCCCGTGCTATTATCAATAGAAAGGTTAAGTTATTAAAGTGGAGCTTTGGTTAAGTAGGATTTACATTATGAAATAGAAACAGCGTGATTTTTACTCTTTGACAAAGGACTGCCTCTATCTGTAGTGGTGTTGAAGTGGTTTTTCTGGCACCACTATTATATTTTTCATGTATCCCCTCTGCCGTAATAAAAAGAAAGGCAAGCAATGCGTCAGACATCGCAAACAACTCGTGCACTATACCACAATTGTCGTATATTGTGTCCCACTTTCACACAGGCGATGTTATGCAGGCCAGAATTGTCTAAATGACCATCTTCAGGACGAGTAAAATACGCGAGGCAGAATTTCTACTGCCATTCCTGGGGATGCATCCTTCGTTTCGAAGAAACTATGATCATCTATTGACATCAAGCCAACGCACTCGCTAAACAGTAGAAGCAGTACAGACATCACATGAAGACTCATCACGTATAAGCCAGGCTGTTTGTCATAGAGAGAATTGTCATTTATGCAGGAACTCATGTCATACTTCAATGTTTCTTTTAAACATCTCGTAACATATGTACCTTTTGTTTGCAATGAAAGTTCACTTGAAATTCTTTGCTTCTCTGTGCCGTTTTCTTTTGCTCCTGTGGGAAAATAATACTGTTTTTATTTCGCAAGGCATGAAATTTGCAGACACGAAACAAAAGGAACCAAAGCACGAAAATGGCATCTGTCCTCGTGCTTTTTAAATCGCCCTGTGTGTGCCCTGTCAATTCCTTCTTCTTTACCGAATGACTTCGTTACATGGGTTTACTTCTTTTCAGAAGACAGATCGTTTTGTTGCTCTCAATCTGGTGTGTATTTTTCAAATAAACTAACTAGAGGTCTCCCCCAAGGTTTGATACTGCACCCATTATTATTTAATGTAATACTGTGCATGATTCCTGTACAACACTAAATACAGGTGTACGTAAAGGCTGACGACATTGCATTTTCGATATAGCTGCAGATATAAATACACTGTGTCAGAATCTGCAGCATTATATGAACGCTCTGGACACGTAGTTGGACGATATCAATCTATCATTAAACATCGAGAAAAGCGCAATCTTAGTTTTTCCGCCAAGTATTCCTGTGCAGATTTTGCTTCTTTACAGACAGAAAGTTATCCCGCTGATGGAATCATAAGTATTTAGGAGTGACGTGTAACAAAAATCTAAATTGGAGTTCACGTATAGAAAATGTGGCAGCTAAAGGAGCATAGGCGGTAGGGATGCCTGGTAAACTAACCGATAAAGGATCTGGTTTATGTTGTGATTAGCTCTTCATGATATATTGTATGTATATTAGCCCGATATAACTGACTGAGACTTGTTTTCTGGAGCACCCACCTACAAACTTTCACCGCTGGTACTTCTAGAACGCAAAGTGTTATGAGTGTGTGTGTCGCAAATGATATTTTATATAAAGAAGCATGCCAGTCTCCTCTTCTTACAAGGTTCCAAGTACGAATAGTTCAGACCTTCCTAAAAATATATATGCATACCCAAAAAATAAATCGCAGTATGTTTTCATTAATCAGCCGATTGCCTTTTTTAACCAGCAGGGGTCTAAGATGTCATCAAGCTATTGTTGTATAGAAGCTCTTGGTAGCATTACAAACTGAACCTTCGTGAAGTACTGGTACTAAGGAGACCTATTAAGATGATTTTTATAGAGTTGGACAATAACTTACCTAATAATTGCAAAGATCTTCCCAGTAGGCATCTAAATGCTATTTGAAAGATCATTCGACAAGATTACAATTAAAGATTGTAATACAGCTGATGCTTCAGTTTCTGAAAAAAAGGCTACAGTGGGAATAGCATCTTCAGAGTTAGATTGGTATTGTTCGATTCATTTACCTGATTTTGTACCTATATATCTAGCGGAATTACTTGTATTTGTCTAAGCATTATGTAAGCAGCCTCTACTCATAACAGATGCTGTCAATCTTACAGACTGCCTATCTGTCTCTTCTTATTAACTGCACCAATTAAGTCAAATGCTTTAGAAGTGCTTTGTGCCCTTGCCCCTAGAGATTTACTTCTCATTTGTTCGGTATGGCTACCAGGTCATAAAGGTTTAACCCTCAATGAATATGCAGATGCACTTGCAGTGGCCTCACATAATGGTCCCATAATTTCTATATTGACGATGCTAGTATTTATTGCCGTCGCACGATTTCGAAAATTTGCCCCATCGATTATCTCTGAAAAATCTCGCTTGGCAACATTTGAGTTTTCTCATCTTAACTACCCATAGAAAAATTGATGGTGCTCTTCTAGAACGGCTGAAACATCAATTGCGAGACTACTATGTCCAGTCTCCCAATTGAATTTTCACGTACAGAGGCGTGGTCTGGTAAAGGCACCCTTACACCTCTACTGCAACTAGAGTGAATCTCTGCATCATTTTTCCTTAACATGCAGGTTATTTGCGAATAAAAAAAAATACCGTTAGATGAATCTCTCCGTAGGTCGACTTTAAATGTTCCTTATGGTGGTGATTTCCTTTGGAGCAACTGAAGAGGGCTTTAGCCACAGGAACGCTTGTGAAGCCGTATGTGATTTCCTAAGGGAAACAAAGCGAATAGAATGTTTGGGTTAGGCATAAATTCACTTTATTTTAAGCCTATTACCTTAATTTTAATGGGTTTTTTGTTTCGTTTCCTTTGTTTATTCTATTTTCATTTCATGTTTTAGCAATTTGTTCTTCTTAAAAACATTCATAAGAAAACGCATTTGGCAGGGAAAACTGTTTTATTTCTGAGATAAATTACCGTCTGTTTCATGGTCAATCTCTCGTGCTGGGTTACGCCAGAAATCTGTGGGCCAACCAATCAACCAACCCTTCTCTGAAGCATCTTGGTCATTTGACCCTTGATGCAGGCGTACAGCACTACACTATGCCTGTAGTCGGGGCTCAGCCGAGTGTGCCAGTGTCTTGCTTCAAGCGCATGCCAATCCAAACCTCACTGACGCACAGGTAAGCATCACTTTGTAGACTTGGTGCTGCGGCTACGAGAGCATTTTTGTGTGTCACTATTGATTTTGCTGATTGGACAAAACAGGGCTGCCACAAGCTTTGTGAGGATTAGAGGAAGGCACAAGCATAGTCACTTTAGAGTGTCTAAAGGATGAAACTCTTCCCAATCAAAGGAAGCATTATTAAAGAGACTTCAATAACTTCTACCTTTATACGGGGTGGTAGCTTCAGCCTATCTGCTCAAGTATGAGTGAGGTAGCCAAGCACGTCTTGGGAAGAGGTGCCCATGCAGATAAGCAACAGGTGGAAGCGTAGTTACGGCGGTAGAAGACTATTTGCCTTCAGACCCTCACCCCTTCTCTTTCAGTGTTTGTTGCCAAAAAATTCATCCTGCTCCACCATTCGAACCCGGGGCCAGCGCATTTTCTGTTGCGGTCTTTCTATGTTACATGCAAGGCATCTCTTTGACTTGCCTGTTTAACGCTGTCCCTCCTTCCGCACTGCACTCCCCTGGCCGCAGGTGTTGGGTTAGTGCCAAGTAGGCCTTGCCTTCCCTCGCAGTGCGTGCGCGTTGACATCACTCTCTTTCTAGCCTGCTGCCGTGTGTCATCTCTCTCGCTTCAGCCTCTCCACCGCTTGCAACACTCAAGCCCACTCCCCACTTGGGCATAATCTCACCCGCTTCACCTCTCTCCATCTATCACTGAGAAGAAACCACGAGCCGGCAAGTGCACGCGCGCCTCGAGAATCTTGGGGCGCCGACAATGTGGACAGCATGCTGCTGCTTCCCGCGCGATCGCGTTGACAGGCGGGACGCCTTCGCAGCACGCTTCCGGCTAGTGTGCGCATACCTTTCCCGGCTGTCGCCGGCATTGCGAGAGTTAGCAAAGCTGATCGCGTTCGTGATTGGCGACGTCAACACCAACGAGGCGCGAGCCAGGGAAGCCGAATGCAAGCATTGGTAGTGGAAGACCAGTGACATCAACGAGGTGCGAGTCAACACTGATCACGTTCGAGAAATCAGATAACGCGCGGGTGACACGGACAAGACGTGAGCCAAGAAAGCCGAGCACAAGCATCTTGAACGTGTCCCGCCTCCTCTGTCTTTGCGTTTTAAACTAACGTTCACTGGAGTAAACGCTACACCGAGTTCCAGCACCTGCGTCGAGGGCCGTTTCAACCGGGTCAACGCCGTGCGTATCGCTGCTGCTTCGCATCCCATCAAGATTTCCTTCGTAAAGATGGTCCATAGTTTTTTTTTCTCTTGAGCACACACAGATGGCGGCACCGCTCTGCTTTGCTGGCAGAGAGCATGGAGCAAGAGAAAATGTGTGAAAGATATTAAGCGCGTTCGTACGAAACCCAGGATTTGCCTTGATTCGTCTTTTCCATGGTGCGGCGGCGCATGCACTCTTCCCTAGCGGAGGAGTCAGGAAACGCCTCCTCGTCTTGGAAGCCTTGTCAGTCCTCCCTGTCCCTACCAAAACCTTACCAAAATGCTAGAGGACAGCACTGGAAAATGGAAAAAGTGGATTCTTCAGTCTGAAAAGCACCGGGCACCTTCCATCATTTCCCACGTAGTCAGAGATTCGACGCCAGGCAGAGGATTTCTTGAGGTTAATCTTGGAGCGTCACTGAAGTCTTGGTGGACCGTGGCATAAAACACCATCTTGCAAAAGGGTGCGCGAGGTCTCAACCACTGCACCTTTTTTGGAAGCGGAAGAAACTGGGCAATATATTTCTCTGATAAATTCAGTGTTGAGACTAACGAAAACAACAGAGACAAGCATTTCATATCGCTAAAGAAGAGTTCAGAGTTGAGTACTGACACCATTCATTGCTCATGATACTGTGTGGCTGTGTAAAATATGAAACCACTGGTTGTTATCAATAATACAGACCCCATCGTCACTGTGACGTAAAAAATGCCCCGACCTCCCCAAAGGGAATCGTGAGGAAATGTGAATCCATTGTGTAGCGTCCGTAGCGGCGTTCCGCACGCGAGAACCCAGAGTTAGAAGAATAAAAAAGGTTTTTTTTTTCTTACACCGTGCAGCCAATAGAGCCGTTCACCGCACGTGGCGTTTTTTCGTCGCGGTAAATGCGGTATGCTTTTCCAGCTCTCGTAGCTAGCGTTTACGCTTAAAAAATACTATGAAGTGAACAAAACAGCGTTCTCGGCTCGGCATTGGCGTTTCACAGTGGCGGTTCGAGCACTCATTCCAGAAAACGGTCGAGAGTCAGGCGCAAGCGGACAGGAAAGTGGGTGCAGCAAGAAGGGAGAGTGAACGGTGAGAGGAGCGGCAAAACACGCTCCCACCCTCTTCTACACTCTCTCGCACCATATGCTCCACTTGCTAGGGGCGAGGATAAGCACTCACGCCTGCAGATATTGCTATGGGAAAGTGTGGTGGATGGATGCGGACAGACGCCTGACATAGCCCAACTAAGAAATGCATCCTATTTAAAATGCCCCCAGCTACCTGAAGGGCATTGTCAGGAAGTGTGCATGTATTGCATAGCGTCCATATCGGCGTTTCGCATGCAAGAACCCAGCGTTAGAGAAATAAATTTTTATTTTTTACACCGTGCAGCCAATAGAGCCTTCGCCACCCGCACGGGGCGTTTTTCTATTGCGAGAAACGCGGTATGAATTTCCAGCTCTAGTAGCTAGCAGTGTTGCGGAATGGGCACCTTAATTCTATTCCGATTCCATTCTGGGGAATTGCAACTTGCCGTAATTCCATTCTTTTCAATTCCTTAGAATGAAAAAACTTAGCACATTGTCACTCCAGGAAAGGCCAGACAAGTGAATTCTATTCCAACAATTCCTCAACGTAGGAAAGGCATATGCTCCTAGCTTTATCGAGCTAAGAATGGTTGTGACAACATAATACTGATGTCAACAGATGCATAAGAACTGCAAAACCACACTAAACACAGTCACCACGGTCAAGGGATAGTAGCTTGGCGACTTATCTCGTGCAGTACAACCACAATACTATTTGCTATAGGGGCACTTCTCTTGCTACCTATGGTATTTGCATGGTCAGCACAACAATATAAAAAAAAAAACGAAAGTTAGTGAACAGTAGGCAACACATGCATTTACTCGTTTCGAGCGTATTTTACTACTTTTGCGGCACCTCTTTAATATAGGCAGCGGCCAGTAAATCTTGAAACTTTTGCTATTACTAACCGAGAATGCTTTCTTGCATACAGTTTTCTATATATACACTAGAGGGAACTCTGGCGCCAGTGTCTCTGGGAGCTGCAACGCATCGTGCCTCAGCGAGCATGGGAATTGTGAGTAGTACACGGATTTGCCCAGTCTTTGTACTTTACGTTCTTTTTAGTTCACATCGCTTGAAGCTGCTTTTTCACAAAACAAGAATTGGCAAATGTTTGGCAGTTGCACTTCACCACCGTATTCTTGTAGGCTTACCATTTCAAATCAGGTCATGAATTCAAAACAGTCCATTCTTTCCTTCGAAACAAAACCGAAACACTGCAATAAACGAAGCTACAAGTGCGATTCGCCGCCCGCTAGTACGAAGGCTATAGGTATATCAGTGTACTACCCATCATTCCCATGGTCGTTGAACGATTGCAGCGCCAGGTTACCCTCTGGTTAATTTTAGGAAACTCTATGCTTTCTTGGTCTTTTGAACTAGGTAAGTACTAAGCCACAAACGCTGCCAGATCTCTTGTAAACACCACCGTACATCTTGCAGTAATCGTGACACTCTTAAGAAAAATGTAGACCAATCTTAATTTTGTCGATTACTTTGGAATAACAATTTTGTGGTAAGGGATGACACACATACATAGAAGTGCAGACGATGATGCGCACAAAATGTTCATTATTTTTTTTTAATTCTATGGCTGATAACTAGTCCACAGTATGGTATTCCAAAATAGGAGCATAAATACCCTTAAAACGGCTGTTACAATGTACAATACCGTCTAAGTCTTGATATTCTATGTATGTGTTTGCACGTATATCTTCGTTTGTGATTCATTCATGCTTCTATGCATGTTTCTGTGATGCATATTTACCATAGTCATTTCATGAAGTAATTAGTGGCCACTAATTAATTTTATGGACGATTGCGCTTTGCTTATTATTCTATATATGCCTATATAACTTATTTATCTTGACGTGGCATTGCACATGTACCTATAAATGCCCATTTACTGAAAATTCAGTATTGTATTAATTTTTCAAGTCAGCACTATTCACAAACTCCTTTGAAAGCTGGCAAGTTTCACTAATCAGAATTTTACTACCTCCACTCACTAGGAGGTTACTAGTTCTTGTAACAAGTAAACAGTTACTATTTAGTTAGAGAAGAAGGATTGAATAAGCAGGCCTTTTTCTAGGAGTGCATGTTTAAAAGTATGATGTTTCAATATTGTTTAAGCTTAAATGCATCGATGCTAAAATGACGTACTTGGCAAATTGTCACGTAAGGATTCGGAGAGGTGCCGGCTTGGTTATGTAGAATCACCTGCTCTGGCTGGCTACCCGAACCAGTGCTTTCAAAAGTCTACTTTTTGTCTCTCTGTACGGTTCATCTTGTACAACAGGCAAAGGCACCCATGTGTGTAGACAGGGGGGACAGTATGTTATGTGGCAAGACTGCCCGCAAGCTGGTATAGGAAAGCTTGCACTAAACACAAGCATTGCACCGTTGTCAATATGCATCACAACTGTACATCCAGGTACATCGAGGCTTATAATATGTTCTATTATTACTTGTGGGTAAAGATAGTGATAATCGCTTTGTGGTCACTGTGGGAAATTGTGATTGACTCCGTGACCGTTTTTAGCAAGACGAATGTGCTCCTTCTGTCGAGCAGTATATTCATGTTGTTCTTTTGGTGACTTTAATTTTCGAGGTCTTCAATGAACTCGAGAGTTGATAGCCTTACCTCCCATTCATATTTGAAAGTGCCAAACACACCAAGGGAACACGAACGGCCATTTGACGTTCTTCGAAGCCCTTATGTGAAGTGCGAAGCAGCTGCAACAGAATCTTTACCGGGAACAAGGTGGGAGGGGGATGCCTTGTTCACAGGTGCGCTATCATCCGGCATGTGGTTTTAATGCTTATTTTGTGTTTTCTTTATTGAAACAAATACTGAGCTCGGTGTTTGATTGCAAAGAAAAGAATGCCGTTCTCCTTGAAATGTGTAAGGCCCCTAGATCACCCAGAGGTCGAAATTTGATTGTGACGTTGAAGTTGTACATGAGTCGACAGCGGACGCATTCATTTGCGTATGTGACTACGTCTCCGAATGCCCTTCCACGGCGTCTGAGGTGAAAAACGAAAGCAGCGTGCGCATCTGTGAGCAGAGGACCACTCGAGCGCAAGCACCTCTTGGTAGCTTAAGGGCCTGTCGTTTTGTTCGTTGTTCACGGAGACCGAATTGTTTGCGGGGTAAAGTTTTGCTGCAAAATCGGTTGTCCATCCTTGGTGTTCAGTGTGGTAATATCCCACAGTTGTGAGGTACAAGGTGCATGTTCTCTAGGCATGGCTCATGGTAACCCAACGTTGTCACCACTGTTGTCAAGTGGCAAGAGTAGTGTATCTTAGAGAGAGCCTCAAGGCTCGCGATCTGATGTTGCCAAGGTCGAAATAGCGCATGGTAACGGGACACTGGGGCAATCATTCTGGAAAACGAGAATGAGCACGGAAAGTGACGAAGAATAGAATATGTACGCACACAAGCGCAGAACTTCCAGTTGACTTTATCGACGAAAAGCAGTTGAATTTAGAGCTAGCATAACATAAAGAACAAGCAACAGTCACAATGACTCAGCTAAAAAAACAACACTACAGGTGTACGTGTGCATCACGTGCATGGGATGATGGGAGTGACCTGAGGTGTCCATCTAAGAATTGCATACTTCGGCGCTCTATAATAATCTAGAAGTGGTTTTTGCTATGGAGAACGTGTCAGTGATTTCTCTTTCATTTGTCGACTTAGCTTTTAATAAGAACTTCATCTTTTCCTGATGAGGCAAACATCTCTTGCAATGCAGGGTGAGATTGTTGCCAGTGCCACTGTGCTAAAGTTGGTTGTGCTCTTTTGCACGCTCATTGAAACATCTGCTGGTATGTAAGAGAGGCATGTGCACGAAATCTCGTAACTAAAGTTGAAAGTGCAACTAAATAATAGCAACCATAAGTCGACTAGCCCGGCAACTTGCCTTACTACGAAAAATCATACCACTGTTAGCAGGTTGGCCAGGAATATATATAGCCGGGAAATCGGAATGCATAGCCAAAAAATAGCGTACCTGTACTGTCAACGGCAGTAAAATTGTGCAAAACTAGCCACGCCAGTGGGAGAACAAGTGTTACTATATTATTTAAATGACGAAATTAAAGACCCCTTTGGTGGAACTATAAACATAATTAAGTGCAAGAACATGTCTAAATCATAATGGCTAAAAGAATAAATTGTCGTCTAAGGGGTGTCAGTTGTCGACGGTAAAGGGCAGCTGGTGTCCCAGGCCTCACTCTGTAAAGATAAAGTGACAGTTACAGAGCAGGTCACCATTGCGTTAGTTCTTGAGGCAGCACAGATGTCTAGTGTGATTTACTCGAATTCAAGATCGGACGTTCGGACCTTCTCTAGACGTTTGATTTCGCAGCAGGTGGCCAGGTTCATTAGAGTGGTCGCAGACAGGCACGATGGTTTGGTGGTTCACAATATTTCTTGGTTTTCAGCACAGGCTGAGGGCATTGATAGGGTCAATTCTAATGGCCAGCCTCACACCCTTACACATGAATGCACGAACCGTGGGGGGGATGGTGAAGCATCTGAGTGGGACATTGACCTCAGAAAGGGTGCTTTGAGAACGTTCCATGAGATTACGTCCAGCTACAAGCTGAGTCAAAGGCGTTTTCTCCTTCCTAATGCTAGGCTCAACAGAGCCCAGGGAATCACTTTTTGTCTCCTACAGACGGGCACATATCTCTGCCTACGAACGTATCAAGGGATAGAGCCAGACTTTCATGAAGGGTGTCTTTGTTGTGGCCTCGAGAGTGACATGACACGCAGGCCATGAATATCATGTTTGGACGTGTCATTTACATTCGTCATCCATTCACATCACGTTATACCAAATTTGGTGTATATGAAGCTAGCTAAACGGCCGCAAGCGCATCATGAGCGTGGTATGTTGTGATGTTCTTACATGACACGCATGTCATGATTACCATGTTTGCACCAATCATATGCCTTTGTCATCCACAGACCTCATGTAACACCAAATTTGGTATATGTAAAGCTAGCGAAGCGGCGGCGAGCTTCTGTATTCACGGCCTTGCCTGCTTTGGGGATAAAAGTCACAAGTGATGTTTTCTATTCGGGAGGAAGCGGACAATTGTTCCAGACCTGGGTAATGCATTCTAGCAAATGGAGGTAGGCTGTGTCAAGGAAGTTTGCCAACAGTTTGACTTTATGCGGTCACGTCCTGGAGCCGTACCCAGCTAAGGGTACGAACACACTTGCAGCGCGGCACTCTGCCTCGCGCCACTCACACTCGCAAAACGTCGCTTTTCTGCGTAGAATTTCTGCTGCCGATCGAATTGGCACTGGGGTACTTTTTGCCACTTCCGTCGGCTCCAGCACAAGCAAACCACCAATGAGCGCCTGCTTTTCCTTTCTTCCTCCCTACATCGGTGGTGCCTCCTCACCCATGCCTTTTCCTCTCTGCGTATGTTGTGGGGAAAACAAGCCGCGAGCCGGCAGCCAGCAGGTGCGTGCGCTCACCTTGACATGTCCATTCTTGTCTCGCTTTTCTCGCGGCGCAGCCAATGTGGACAGCATGCCGCTAGCTGCTAAGCGGAGGCACTGACTGGCAGGACGCCGCCGCCAGTGTTCACGTACCTTAAGGCAGCTTCAAGGTCATGCAACTGTAAATGGGCATCGAGATTCTGATTACATTTGCCAGAGTACATGTACACCGGCCCAACCGGCTCCTCCTTACGACAGAGATATCTATCGCACAGAGTATCTGCCAGCTGAGCTGTCGTCCCTTGGCACCCATGCAGAGCCCGCCGGAGCTGCCTTTGCGTTTCCTCTCTCTCCTTTGAGACGGGTCTATGAGGCCTACAACATTATTGACTGATGCCATACTACGTGCTCGCAACGTGAACAGAAATTATATAGTTAAGGGACCAAACAGCGTATCTAAACCGACTTCCCAAACGAACCTTGTACTAACTTACTCCTCATCAGCGCCACGAATCAATAACATACTTTCCCGCCATTTCAACATGATCAGGCAAAGCAAACGACTAACTTCTACTTTCGCGAAGCCACCTCACGTGGTGTACCACAGGGATAAAAATCTGAAGGACATTCTTGTCAGAGCAAAAACAAACACCCCCAAAATTCAATCAGGGTGCCATACCTGCGGAAAAGCTCGATGCAAGGTATGCCCACAGATGGTCACAACACGTGAATCCAAAGCTAACTTCTCGGATTTCAAATTCTGCATAACTGAAAGCCTTAATTGTGACTCCAGTAACGTAATATACATGCTACATTGCAACATCAGCGGACAAGAATATATCGGCCAAACAGACCTGCCATTTCAGGCTGCGGTTCAATAATCACCGGTACCACGCCACTTCTCTGCCGAAGCTACCTTTATCTAGACATCTGCTCCTGCCACAGTTTTGAAAATATCAGCGTAACTCTTTTGCAGTCCGGTTTCTCAAACAGGCGCGAGCGGGAATAGCGTGAGGCTTATTTTATTTTCAAATTTCGAACATTAGTAGCCGGCATCAACGAGGACCCCGGAAAACTCTCCTGCCTCCGAGAAGTAAGCCAGGAGGAAATTGGTGACAAAGATTGATAGCTGGAGACCATGCTTGTTTTTTCTGACTGACTCGTACGTGTACACTGGTTTTTCTTGTTTTTTGTTTTTCTTTTTTTCTTTTTTTCACATGCACATACAAAGTGTTTATGTTCGCCTACCACTTGATGACCATTGAAGGGAAACGGACGAAGATTAAAGGTAAAGAGCCAACCCACCCATTAAGGGGAAACCCTTTCTTTACGCACGCCGTCACGGAACCCTCCTGCCACCGCGGCGACAATCTTGGGTGGCCCGACACACGTCGAGAACTGAACAGCACCTGATAAAAACCGGATGTGGACATACACGGACAGTTGGTTTTGTTCTCAGTGTTGACAGTGGTTCTTTTTTACTTTCTTTCTTTTCTTTCTTTTTCTTTTTTTTTTCTTTTTTTCTTTTTGTCTTTTTTCTTCCCCCCCTTTTTTTTCTCTTTCCTTTTTTTAGTTTCCTCTCACTCTCGCAAACATCTTTCAAGGCGAGAGGGACGCGGCAGCTACGAAGTTTGGAAGTTCATGTCAGTATAACTCATCCCCTGATGAAGGGAGGACCCCTCCCGAAACTGTTGGGAAATAAATATATTTATCCTTGTTGACAACCCTCCCGTTGTGCCATATCCTATATATATATATATATATATATATATATATATATATATATATATATATATATATATATATATATATATATATATATTGTAACAGACTAGTAAAAGATAGAGAAGAGAAGGAGAGGAAGACGAAGAGTCTTGGCACGTTCGCAGTGTGCTGCCGCAAACGACCATCGGTCACCTCCTGTAAATAAAACCATTTTATCACAGCTCACTGTTACAGTTGTGGTGGACATGCTGGGTTATCGACACCCGAAGACGGAGGGTGAACCGCAAGTTCTTCGGCGGAGTCGTCGCATTGCTGGACTTCCACCGAATCCATCTGGGCTGGACATGTGCCACAACGCAAATGAACACCGACCCCTCTCGACTTCTGCGCCGACCAGTTCGGCTCCACAACTGAGAGATGCTCGTCCCTTTGCCGGCAGACCAGATGAAGACGTCGAGGCTTGGCTCATCCATTACAAACGGGTGAGCACCGCTAACAAATGAGATGCCGCTTCTCAGCTTTTGTACGTCGCGTTCTTTCTGACGGATACTGCATTAATGTGGTACGAGAATCCGGAGGAAACACTAACGATGTGGGACAGATTTGTTTCTGAAATCAAAGAGCATTTCGGCGACCCAACAACGATAAAGAAAAGAGCAGAACGGACGCTAATGCAACGCGCTCAAGTGCCAGGTGAAACTTGCACGACCTACATTGAGGAAGTCATAAAGCTATGTAGACCATTGACTCCGGAATGTCTGAGGAAGACAAAGTCAAGCACATTCTAAAAAGAATGGCCGAGGATGTTTACAGTTTCCTCATCGCGAAAGACACCTTGACATCTGTTACCGATGTCATTCACCATTGCCGCACTTTTGAGCAACTAAAGACGAGGTGCATCACGCCGAAGTTCGGCTGGCTACCCAATGTGACGACCATCGCGAGTATAGACAGCAACCAGGCACTTGATCTTGTATCAACAATCCGGCAAATAGTACGTGAAAAACTCGGCCTGTACGCGCAAGTGGCAAACCGCACAAGCACTCATCCCCCCTATCAGCCACCAGAGTTCGAGCGAAACGTTGCTTCATTCTCCTCGCACCGAGTGGCGGAGGACTTTGAGGATTCTCATGCCACACCTCAGTATCAGCCACGTCTATACGATAGAGGCCCTGCCTATGACGCACGATCATGACGAGCACAGCCGCATTCTTATACTCAGGACTCTCAGCCGGACTACGTCCCGCTGCGGCAAGGACAGTACCAACCTTACTACCAAGATGTAACTTATGACGAATACAATGGATTCCAGAGAGTGGCAGAAACCCGTTCTTCAGCGTGATAACGAACTTCCTCGCCAGCAGCAGCGGCCCAGGATTCGTTCTATCGATTATAGTATAAACTGTGACCCTCCCGTGTGCTACAACTGTGGTTTCACTGGGCTTATCGCTCGGTATTGCCGCCAACAATGCCGCCAATCACGAAGGACACCAGCCATGTCTTCGCCACCAAGACCCGATGCTTCATATGACCTGCGGACAACCGACTTGTTTCCAAGGGACCGTTTTTCGCGCGAGACCAGACGCAGTGATTCGCCAGCATTCGAGCGGAGTTTGACACCACCATCCAACCTTTCTTGTCGCTCGCCGTTTT